TGCTGCGCCGCCAGTGGTTCTTTGATTATATCATCTTGATCCTCGTCCCTGCAGCGCTCCCTGCCTTACAGCGACGACTGCTGCTTTGCTGCCACCACTACTACTAACAACTAATAACTACTAATAACTACTAACACTGCTACTACTACTGCTACTCCTCCTCCTACTCCTGCTGCTGCTGCTGCTGCTGCTGCTGCTACTGCTACTGCTCCTCCTGCTGCTGCTGCGACCGCTACTGCTACAGCTACTGCTGCTGCTACTGCTAATGTGGTGATCATGAAGTTGGGGGAGACTATAGCCGCACAGAACATCGGTATACCCCGCAACAATCCCGAATGAAGACAGTTTCACAGCGGCGATGATATTGAAGCATCAGCAGCTGGATCGTGGCTTCGCTTCTTTCCGAGGTGAACTCAATCTGCTTTCTGTGCAGAAGATGAATGGCATCGTCATTGTCTCCTCGGAGTTTTGTGTGTTGCAGGACTTTGCCACGAAGTCCTTTGATGTGAACAGTTACCGTAAGTTCAGTTGTGCCGCTCCCGATAGAATTAATTACGTCGCCTAACATACCCTTGGCAAATTCAGAATCCGGACAGGAACTGAAGAAGCAGGACGTGGAGATGCATTTGTCGAAGCCAGGGGCTGAGTGAGACACCACACTTCACTTTCGCAGGCAGCTTACAGCTCATCCTCCAGTTAAATTAATCTTTCTGTGATGGGAAAAATCCTACAACAGTTCCTGTGAACAGCACCTCCAAGGCATCCAGTCGCGCGATCCAAATGGAGAGACTTGCTCAAGGTGAGAAACATCTGGAAGCAGGCTGGGCAATTGCTTATCAGACGCCACTGAGCTCAGCACGAGATGCACAGCATCTGGGCTTGTCGCTGCTCTCGCCTTCGCAGGACGGATCAAATGACCGACAGATTGACATGTTGCGAGAGTCGCCATTCTTCAACGACGACATGTCCAACCCTGAGGTCTTGACCTGTGGAGTCGCAAGGGTTGTGAGCTAGGTAGGCCATTCATATGATGAGATGCAACGAAGAAGCCTTTACTGGGCTCGTGCGTTGGCGTTTTCAGTAGAGCCCCCCCCCCCCCCCGGAACCCCTTTGCACCAGATCCGCATCCGCGGACCGAGGCCTGTCGGCTTCGCCAAGGCCGTCCATGGGTCCATGGAGGCAACGGTGGAGCACAGCGGACAGTTTGGAAAGATCCTCAGCTCCTGACAGTTGGCAAGGACTCCGTTGTATGATTGTCGGTAGGCTGCGACTTCCTTGAGTCTCTGATCGCAGTCAGTGCGCCATTGTCATGCGATTGTCGGTTCGGTTGCTAGTTCTGTTGAATGCAACTTGTCGTCAGTACCAGTGGCAACATACAGCGATCGATCTATTTGTTGAAACACCCCCTCCGCCTGTCTTGTACCAAGTGCTCCGAACTTCGGCAGGTAGGCGTTGCGAACATTTGCAAACCTAAGAACGCGAAGACCCGAAGATGCCCCGGGCTGAGCGGCTGTGGCCGCTGCGCGTCGAGTCGAGGGCCCTCCCAACAAACGCCTGGGGACCGGGCGCCGAAACCAAGTAGTAGTAGTAGTAGCAGTAGTAGTGGTAGTAATAGCAGTAGTAGTCGTAGTATACTGACTGCTCTTACTAGTTTTAGTGCAGCTTCTCGAAGTTGGCAACCACCGCGAAGACGGGAGACCGGGATCAGACTGTCAGACCCATTTGAGAGCGGCGTTGCAAGAACAAGCTCGACGGTCAGGTGCGGCTCTTCTTCCCAGAGGAGGTCGTCCAGGACAAGGCCGGGCAACACTCCTGCTGTACTTACTAAGTGCACTGCTGAACCACCGAGCAAGCCCTTACATCCGACCTGTCAGGATGATCCGACAGATGTCCTGTATCTGGTTTGTGAAGGCCAGATGGAACGGCCAGCACCTCAGCCCCTTTTAGTCCTGGCAGTTCCACGCAAGAGCTGACATGCGCCAGGATGTCCCTCGGCAAGAAATCAACTCTTGACGTCGGGGCGCTGCCGGCTTGAACTTGTGCAATTTGTGCTTCCATGCAGGCGTTTTGGTGAATTGCAAGCTTTTTTGGATATCTAGAAGATCGCAGCACTTCACCCTGGAGCGCAAACCTGGGGCAAGAAACCTCAAGCACAACATCCCTGAGCCCAACATTTGACTCCAGAGACCCTCACCTGTTCGGCAGCATGCTCCCTGGGTGGAGGTTGGAGTGGCACTCCCGGAGCAGGTTCCTCTAGTTACGTTTTGTCGGCGCTCCAGGGCATCTGGGGCGAGGCCGGGCTGCTTTCGGACAAAGACGGGTCCACTGCCCAGGAGCCTCGTGGGAGTCTCTTGAGCTTTGCTTGGCTGAGTAGACTCAAGGCCTCCGGAGACACTCGTTGCCAAGTCCGTGTGTGGTGTGATGGTCGGCAGCCTAGCGGCCCAGCTGCATTGATCTCATCGGAGCAGAGAAGTCAGTGTCTCAGGCATTGCACCGCAGGAACATGATCGATGTCTTTGACAGTTTCCCGGAGGCTCTGACTCAATCGATAGCTGCGGTAGGGTACGACTGGCACCTGGGAAACCTGATTGGCCTGGGCTCTCGTGCAGAACATGCGGGACTGTCTCCAATATAGAGTCCTTGTTTATGATGAACCTCGATGTATGTGGTGGGGGCTAGACACACGAACATACGTCTAAGTCGACCAGTTGCTATCATGGTGGGGAGCATGAAGTGTGTTACAGAGATGTCTCGGTTTGCACGGCGAATTGAGGAGTGAGCAGTTCAGTGCCAAGAGTTTCAGGTGTGTTTTGTAGGTTCAGATTGAGCACGTTTGCATGCCTGCGAAGGCCAAAGCAAAAATCGAAGCTATTTCCAGGAGGTCTTGGCCCAATCACCGCATGTTTAGCTTGATCTTGCCAGCCAAACGGTTTCACCGTTGCTAGTTTCTTGACATGGTGGGCTTCCATGAAACGGCATGCTCAAGGTCTCGGGAAGGTATCTTCGAGGCACGGCGAGACTCGCGCTTGCTTTTGCGACGCTCCTTTTGAAGCCTTGTTTAGCTGTCCTGAACAATCAAGTTTCTCTGCTGGCAGCAGCTGGAATGCCACATTCCATGTCGCAGGCGGGTGGACAATCCTGGAATATCTACAGAATGCCGAGACTCAGCATCTCGCAATGGCATGTGCATGATGGATGACGAAGCCTTGAGGTCCTGCTTCAAAGATTGCAGCAGTCGGCCACCGACTCAGCAGGTTGGTTCACGGCGATTCTTTGTAGCTGGTGGCCAGTGAGGAAGGATTTCTGAAAGAGGAATAGACAATGCTGTCATAGCCCGAGGTTCCTTTACCTCCTCGACCTGCACCTCGAGCGCCATATCTACTTCAGTGCCTCGGCTGAGACATGGGGGCTGGAACAGCAGGGCAAGCTCCATGGCGTGCCAAAGGCGACGAGACCGTTGTTGTCGAGAACACGGAGGGTGAGGACTTGCAGACATTCTGGATTGCTTACAGCCCGCAACTAATCGTCAGTGCTGGCAAAATAAGATTTGGAACTTGTTGGCATTGCACAGGACATGTACATCCTGTACAGTGGGGCGATGGAAGTGAAGGCACTCCTGCTTGTCACCGATGTCGACACGGATGCGGTGCCGTGCCTCTCAGGTGAAGGGCATCACAGTTGGAAAGCTGGAAGGTGGGTTCCTGCCTGAGCTGCACAGCTGCGACTCTGGGATAGCCCCGGCCTCTTTGGCCTCCATGAGGATGTTCTTCGGGGAGATGGCAGTCCTTGGCTTGGTGACCGCCTCGGTTGCTGGTGGATGCATCAGAGCTTGACATCTTGCTAGAGGGATGTCGGCAGCGTCAAGGTCAAAAAAAGATCCGCCACGATCATTGCGAAGACCCTGTGCGATGTGCCCCTCTTACTTGTGACTTGTGTCTGGTCGAGACCAAACTCAGGTAGATGTCCTCAACCTTGTGCCTTCGTCTCTGCCAGGTGCGCCTTCTCTCAAGAAGGTCTTTGGAAGAGGCTCTCAGCGAGTTTCCAGAGGACCGTGCGCCTGCACGCTGAATAAGGGGTAACAGATTGTTTCGCACGGACAAGGAAACATTTCCGCCAGAACCTGCCAGAACAGTTGAAGGAAGGAACGGTTGTCATGCTGCAGGAGATTTCGAGATTCGAAGAGCTGGCAGCCACGGCCTCAAGTACCGCAGTGCAGAACAGCGAAAGAGGGATTCTAGCAATTAAAGCACTCTAATTTTTGCACATGCAAGTTCGATTGATTTCAGAATTGAAGAGGAGGCTTGACTGGATTCAGGAGGAACGTGGGCCCTGCGGTGATGTTCCTGCTGTCGACTGAGGCAACTCGAAATCGGCTATCGCTTGAGCATCGTAACGGTGGTCGTGCCCCGGGCTTGGCCTGGCCTTCTTCACGGGACCAAAGGAGCAGTCTAGTCTGATGTTGCTGGTGCGACGGCACCAGGTGCGACATCTGTGCAGCTTCTTCCACGGTTGCGATCCAAAGTTTGCAACGGCCATTGCGAATGACATGCAGGACTCAAGCTGCACGAATCGAAAAAAATAACATGAAAATCGATGCTTCGCATGCTTGTACAGCCTTGTCAGATAAGTTTGAATTCCGCAACCTAGTCAGTTGCGTTTTTCACAAGTGCGCTGCTGATGGCAATAGGACAAGCTCTTCCTGTCGGGGCAGGTATCGTGATTGCGGGGCCACCTTGCCATGCAATGTAGGTGAAGGGGGCCTGAGCAGCAGGTGCTGTGCAGAGAAGGACTCCCTCAGGACTCCCTGGTTGGATCCTTAGCCATCCTCAGCCTCAGCCATCCTTTCTTCTTGCACCGGGCCCGGGGTCACCTCATCTCGGAGCATCTCTTCGACTAAGTTCTTGATCCACCAGGGCACGGCCACCGTAACTGTCCAACAGCAGAGAGCCAGCGACTCAATGGCCCAAGGAATGGCCGTGATCAGCTGAAGATCTCTTCTCAGCTTTCTTCTTCCCATGCCTCCTTGAGGTGTCCGAGCTGAAGAGTGGCGACATCTGCGGCGAACTTGCCTGGGCTTCAGATGTAGACATGCAAGCAACGTCGGGGCCAAGGAAGTATTACGATGCCTCCTCCGATGTCCGAAGACAAGGAAGTATGACGATGCCTCCTCCGATGTCCGAAGACCATTCAAATCCAGTCTTGCCATACGCGTGTTTGTGTGTGTGTGTGTGCGTGTGTGGGACATGTCGTCGGAAAGAGATGCAAGGGTTGGATGGGATCTGTATTTTCTGGACCATGCATGCTATGCATGGGTTTGTCAAGAACTGCACCGACGCCGCAAACAGAAGAGGGTCTAAAGCAAGTTGGGAAGCAGGTTGCTTAGACACTGGACTGGAAGCCGAAGCTCCAAATTGCGTGATTGCCCTGCGTCTCGACTTGACCTTGGCCTGAAGCCTCAAGCCTGAAGCCTGAGCCCAAAAGGTGGCCCTGGGCTTGTCACCGGTGACGACGGCAACGATCACGGCCATGGACACCTGCTTCGTGCAGGCGCTTCACGACATCACCTGCGGCGGCACAGGGCCGGAACACTTCTAAGCTCCGAGGGCGGAGAGTGCAGTGTTGCACGCACGCAGGGCCTCACAGGCCTTGAAGCCCGGTCATGGTATGTCACCGTCTTAGTGGCCAGGAGCTGCGTTCAAACGTCCTGATGGCGGTCTTGGACAAGTTTCCGGAAGAGCGACAGAAGCTCAGGCACATGTCGTTGCCTTCTGTTGCATCTCGTGTGTTTCCCCAGAGCGAAGAGCCGCACTGGAGCGGACACGGTGCATGCACCAGGCAGCTTGCAGCTCTTCGAATGGAGTGGAGGCGCTTGCTGTCTTGGGGACGTTCCTCTGTCTGGACTGTTCCAGTCTGTACTGTCCCTCTTGTAGGTACGCGCTGCATGACTTGCAAAACTTTGATTGGCCTGGGCCCAAGTGAAGGCAGGTTTTGTGTCGTCAGAATTCAGCATTTGATCAGGATATTGCGACTTTGCGTTGAAATCTGTTGCTCATTCCAGCACAAGACGACAGTCAGAGCAAATGCCAGTGCACGCACCACGATGGCTGTAGCAGTGGCAGCAACAGCTACCACTCCTGCTGCTGCTGCTGCTGCTTCTGCTATCACCGCGGCTACTCCTACTTGTACCACCACCGCCACCACCACTGCCAGCACGCAGCCGCCAATGCTACCAACACTACTTCTGCTATCCTTACCGCCATGTGTGTTCATACTTTACTAGCAGAAGTAACGCTAGCAGTAGCAGTCGCGGTGGCATGCGGTGGCAGTGGCAGTGGCGGTGACAGTGGCGGTGGTGGTGGCAGTGGCAGTGGTAGTGGTAGTCGTCGTCGTCGTAGTAGTAGTAGTCATAGTGGTAGTCGTCGTCGTAGTAGTAGTAGTAGCAGGAGCAGCAGGAGCAGGAGCAGTAGCAGCAGTAGTAGTAGTAGTAGTAGTAGTAGTAGTAGTAGTAGTGGTAGTAGTAGTAGTAGTAGTAGTAGTAGTAGTAGCAGTAGCAGTAGGCGCAGCAGCAGCGGCAGCAGCGGCAGCAGCGGCGGCAGCGGCGGCAGGACCAGCGGCAGCAGCGGCAGCAGCAGAAAGAGCAATTCTAGCAGTCATATGCAGAACAGTAATAAACACTGAAACTGTTCTTTTCGCTGGCGAGCCCTGAACCTGGAAACTAGCAACTAGTCCCGAACTCC